CCGCCGCCGCGCTCCCCGCCCTCGAGCCACGGTGCCGGAGCCGCCCGCCGCCCGCGGAGGAGGTGGAGGAGCCGCAGGAGCCCGCCGAGGCGGCGGCGGCGGCGGCAAGATGGCGGACTTCCTGCCGTCGCGGTCCGTGCTGTCCGTGTGCTTCCCGGGCTGCGTGCTGACGAGCGGCGAGGCCGAGCAGCAGCGCAAGTCCAAGGAGATCGACAAATGCCTGTCGCGGGAGAAGACCTACGTGAAGCGGCTCGTGAAGATCCTGCTGCTGGGCGCGGGCGAGAGCGGCAAGTCCACCTTCCTGAAGCAGATGCGGATCATCCACGGGCAGGACTTCGACCAGCGCGCGCGCGAGGAGTTCCGCCCCACCATCTACAGCAACGTGATCAAAGGTGCCGGCGGGCTGGGGGCGGCGGGCGCGGGGCCGGGCACCGCCCTCGGCCCCCGGGCCCTGGCGGAGGACGGGACCGGGTCGGGCGGTTGGACTGGCGGGAAGAGGGGCGCGCCCGGGGCCCCGCTGCTGGCCGCCCGCCCCCGAAGAAAGCGCCCGGGGCGCTCCGCTCGCTCCCGTTCGGGCCTGGCGGGGGTCCCGGCCGACTGCACCCCCGCCGCGGGCCTCGCCCCCTGGGAGGGGGAAGTGAGCCGAGCCGGTTGTCTCGGCCCGCGCGCGGGGTGACCTCGCCTGCTCTCCTCCCCGTAGCCTGAGCGGGAGATCGAGCGCCGCCCTTGACCCTTGCACCCCAGCACCCCGTCCCCGAACTCCGCCGCCTTGGGGGGATGACCCAAGTCACAAGGTCGGGTCGCTCCCTACTCCTGCCTCGCTCGGCGGCCTCCCGAGCCAGGGAGTTCTGCAACCGTCCTAGGGAGGAAACTTCTGCCCAACCTTGTCAAGGGCGTAGGGCTGTGTGTAGCCCCTGGAAGCAAGGGCACGAAATTTGAGGGCGTCGGGCTTACGCTGCTGGCCTCGGGGAAGGGTAGACCCATTCTGTTAGCCTAAAAAGGATTGGCAGAAGCGCTTTCCAGCCCCAGCCTTAAAGGATGTTTGTAATCACCGTTTTACATAGGTGGGGAAAGGAATCCCATCAGTTGCTTTTTAAAAAAATAAAATTGCATGGTGATTTGGGGACCCTTTAGCCTAAAAGTGATAAAGACTGCACTCTACAGGTGGAGTCAGTGGATCAGTGTTGGATTGGCCAGTAGGCTCTGCTCCTGTTTGATAGTATTTTAAAAGCTAAGCGTAGTTCCTAAATGAAAGAAATATGAACTCTTTATGCTTGGCCATTCAAAGAAATTAGAAAGATGACTTTTTTGTTAGGTGAGGTAGGAGTCTGTTCTCTGCTTTCATATTGTCAGGTTGGCTTGGTGAGCAGAGCGATTCTCCTTAATTTATTTGCCTAGCGTGTTATCTGGGGCTTTGCAGGTCTTTCCAGTGTTTTCTAAATAGATTTGTTGTTGTTGTTGTTGTTGTTGTTGTTGTTGTTGGGGAATTACATAAAAAAACACCTTGGTGTGTCCCCTACTGCCACCACCATGCATTTAGGTGGAGAAAAACTGCCCAGACAGGGAGGCATTGGGGGGCACTGACAGGAGCAGTAGGGCGAGGAGCCTGCCAGCTCCCAGTACCAGGAAGGACCTCTGTAGCTAAGGACTTGTGTTTGGCCTGCCTTGGCGTTTGGCACAAAGTTAAAGTCTCTTTGAGAGCTACAGACTATGCTTTTCCAGTCCTTAATTGACACTTTAGTCTTAGTGCCGTTGAACTTAAGGAATTGCATTGATGAATGGAATGGACCTGGCACCTGTGAGCCAGGTGAGCGCCTGATTCTTACAATTGCGCTGGGTCCTGAGTGTGACCTACTTTGCACATGGTTGTGCGATGAAGACAGTCCAGCCGGTGTTTTGAGTTGACATGATCAGAAAATTGACAAGAAAATGGTTTTTCAATTATCCAAACAAATGCCTTCCTAATAGACCGTTAACAGGGGTGGAAGGGAGCAGTTCAGTGATACAAAGTTTGAACTAACCTCCTGAGTTGAAATCTTTTCCTGTCATTTTTAAGTTTCTCTCCCTCCCTGTTAGGGAAACGCTAGGCCAGCCTACAAGTTACACTGGTTTGAAGCTTCACCTGGGTGAAGTGTTGGAGCTTTGAAAACTTTTTCTAGAAGGTTTGGTGTTGGGGCTAGAATGTTGAGGGAAGACACCGAGCAGCTCGCAGCTCTCAGTGTCCCCGACTTTCAGCTGGGCTCCTGCACTCCAGCTGTTGTCTCCAGAGCCTGGATGTTAGGTGGGACTTCTTTTCTTCTCCCCCATGTTGGTTTTAACTACCTTCTGCTCCAGAAATTATTTTATTAATTGCAACATGTCAGAAAATTTGAAAAAGAACAATTGCTTTAACTGTATTTGTTTTTCATGATTTAACACAGAGGATGCTTTATTTCTTAACGATAAGGGCATTTTGATGCCTGTCTGTTTTTGGAGGAGGGTCTGAATAGTTTAAAATTTCAGGTAATAATGCTGGAATAAAAGTTCGCAGTAATGTCTAATGACTCTTTCCCACACTTTTTAAAACAAGGTATGAGGGTGCTGGTAGATGCTCGAGAGAAGCTTCATATTCCTTGGGGAGATGAGGACAACCAGCTCCATGGAGACAAGTTGATGGCGTTTGACACCCGAGCGCCCATGGCAGCCAAAGGAATGGTGGAAACCGGGATTTTTTTACAATATCTTCCTGCTATAAGAGCCTTATGGGCAGACAGCGGCATACAGCATGCCTATGACCGGCGTCGAGAATTCCAGCTGGTAAGATGTTTGCTCTTTTAAAATGTGGTTTTATCTTAGTGACATTGAGTATGATTTAGCACACTTTTTTCACTGACGTCCATAACACAATGTATTTATCCAAAATTATAGCCTTAAATATTTGTATTGCTAAAAATTTTGTATTGCTGTGTGAGCTTTTCCTAAGTGCACAAAATGCACAGACTTAAGCTATTGTATTGATCATTTTTCCTTTTTGAAAGGAAAGCTATAATTTTCTTTCTGATTTTTTTTTTTAATTGGAATTAATTTTCTGCTAACCATAGTTAACAGTGTTCATCCTACAAAACTTGACCTTTTATTCTTGGAATAAAAGTTTAGTAACAACCTAATTGTTTAAGCATACTATTTGACCATTTTATGATACAGATTAATTTGATATAGAGATTAAAATCTAATGTTTAAAAGTAAATTTAGTGTTTATACCTTCTCATTTTGTGTTTTTAAGGCTCCTAAACATTTTATAAAATGCTCCTTTTTAAAAAATGTTCTTTATTTTAATACAGAATATTAGTTTTTGTTGTTATACCTCTTTTTCACATGGGAAACTATTTTATACTTATTTTACATCCTCAGTCTTGAATAAGACTGACCATGAAATACTTATTAGCTGTTAGCATTGAAAAAAGGATGGAAAAAACATGACCAGTATAGGTTAAGTGTACAGAAATAATAATTGAGTCAGATTTTTAATTGTGTTTTTTGTAGTTAATTGCAAATGTTTTGCTTGTATTCTGGGTTTTTTATTTGCCAAAGACCAGAAAGATTGTATCAGTGATAACAGTCTAGTGTGTACAATTTGAAGGTAGTTCAGCATGAAGTGTGCTACTATCATACAATTAAAATAAAGTGACAGTTAAAAGTAAATCTCAGGAAGTTGTTCCATGCTGTCACTGACATTAAAATGATCCCCGTTTATGGGTGTGGCTACGCTGAGATGTACAGCCAGCAGTCCTTTTGCTCAGAAACAGTCTTGACTATTCAGAGTTCTGGGAAAGTGATCGTAGTATCTTTTTAAAAACTTAGTATCTTAACCTTTTTTTCTCTGAAGTATGGCTTTTTGTGTACATGTAACTAGCAACTGATTGCTGTCTTGCATAGTTCTCTGTCATGTAGGTATCTTGCTAAATAATTTATTTCTGAAAGTCAGGGACTGGCTTATATTTTTGTTAAAACTGAGTAGCGGGAAATGTTGAAAGTGATGAACTTTACAGGCTACTTGCATCCACTTCCCAGAGTTCACGGTGGTGTTGACTTCCGGCTGGGGTGGTTCTGCTCGGCCCAGTTCCTCCCCATCTCCCCACTGCATTGCTCCAGCTTGGAGCTGTTGCTCTTTCTCCTTAGTTCGTTGTTTTTTCAACAGACCGCACTTTGCACCTCAAGCAGTTCTTCTCCTTCCAAAGTGTAGGGGAGGAAAGAGCCACTTGTGATAAGCATGCAGCACATTTTGAGAGAATAAGTGAACCTCTGTTTCCCTGAAAGTTCCCTGATGGAAAGTTCTGTATTGTCCTGTGGCCATCTAATCTGAAATTATTCTCAGTCTGAACTTCACATCTTAGTTTCATACCAAGACTTGGGTCATTATTGAAACAGATTGCTAAGTATTTGTTTTTTAGTAGCAAGTAGGTAAACCTACTAAGAATAAGGACCCCCCTGTTCTTGATGTGAATCAGTTAAGGATTCAAGGCATAAGTTTTCACGGGTTTGGAAAAGAAAGTTCACAGATTTATTTATTTTTTATTTATGCATTCATTCGTTCATTCTGATAGAAAGTAGAAAGACAAGAGAACAGGACAAGATCTAATTTTAAACTGGTGATGGGGATTTCCCGCCCTGGGTGTGTCTTGGCACATTCAGTAAGTGCTTGATTGTTACACTGAATTCATGATTTTCACTCTTTGGATTTGCTGTGGTGGTTGGCGTTCATTAGGCTGCTGGGCATCTCCTATAATCATTTAGCGCCCTCGTGCTCTGCTTTCCTGCCTCCACAGCTCTTCATATAGTACCTTTGCCAGGATTTCCTCCCCATACCCTCTGCATTAGATCTTATGCCTTACTTGGAGCAGTAATTGATTTTAATGTGACTAAACATAGTCTGTGGACCCCTTTGCTTCAGATTTAACTGAAATGCTTATTAAAACAAAAGCGGATTTCCAAACTTCTTTACATAAGGATCTGGTTCAGGAATCTGAGATGAGACTCTGATCTGTATTTTTAGCACACAGCCACAGGTGATCTGGATGAATTGGTTCCTGCTCCTCTACCTTAGCCCTGTGCTGTGCCTTAGGGCCGAGTCTCTGGGACTTCCTCGGCCTCACGTGCAGACTGCAGCACGTTCCTGTTCTGTGGTCTCTGAAGCATGCTCGCTCACGCTCGCGTTGGCTGCTGTGCGTTGGGTACTTGGCTCCTGCTGCCTCCTTACCAGGGAAGTGTCTTGTGTGTGCCTGGCCTTTTGCTGTGCCCTTGGCATGAGGCCTGGCCCTTGACTTTATTTCTTCAATCTTTTAGACATTCTGAGCTACGGGGGGTCTTCCAGGGGAAAAAAATTTCTGCATTAAGTTTCTTCTGGGAAATGTAAATTATTGTATTTCTAAATACTAGCTTGTTGATTTTTCCGGGAAACGGGACATCTTTGCACATTATTATATAGCCATAATTTGTTCTTTTAAAATTTTTGTCTGGTACATTTAACAATGCATATATTTGGATTTTAGGTAGAAAAAATAAATACAGGTTAGTTATATACAGGAACTACAGGAACTAAAATTAAGCCGCTTTGTTTCAACTAATGATTGAATTTTAAGCACCCTAATGCAAATTAAAGTTTGAAAAAAAAAAACACTGCAGTTGTTAAGTTCTCTGTAACTTACATTTGCATGCGTGATTGCCCTTCAGGCAGTCTTGGATACAGGTTAGGTAGTGGTCGCGCAGAAGGCCATTCATTTGTGAGTAATAACTTGAGATACGAACATGAATGTTTTCTTCCTTAAGTTCCCAAAGGCAAACATTTCCTTTTCTGGTTAGTTCCATCCTGGGTAAACAAAGTAGCTTACTGTGGAAAAGGAAAATACAGGATTCATGGTCTTGTTAAAGCTCAGGCCTGGTACCTTTCCGCATGTAAACTAGCACAGTGAGCATAATACATCCTAAGAAGTAGTCTTTTGTAACATTGGATTAAATATTTGTAGCGCCCTACTTTGCCTGTGTATTCAGGCTTGCCACTGCGCTAATGAGATACCTTGTCTTTAGAATGACTCACTTGACAGGGAATTTGATAAGTTGGTGACTTAGAAATATGGGGTCTAAGATTGGCTGGGATTTGCAGTAATTTGCAGTGTGGATCAAGCTAACAAAAGGGCTGAGACTCAGTGCCAACTGGATTTTGTGTACTTCACAATTGCTTGTCGAGTATAGCAATACTGGTTATATAGGATAAATAGTGTGTGTGAGTGGAAGGAACACCCCACAACTTCCTAGTTTCTCTAAACAGTTTAACATTGTCAGCATTAATACAGCTTCCTGTAACGGCTCGTCTGTCTTTGCAATTCCTGAAACCAAACCGTTCTGTTAATCATGGTACCTTCGGTTAGACTTCATTTTTCTTACTCAAATGGGTGGTTTGTGCTTGAGATTATCTCCTCCAAGTAATATGGTAGTTTATTCATGAAGACAGTGGAGTCTCCCCTCAGTCTAACTAACTAATTATTTAGCTTCTGAAGGAACAGAATGGCTAGTATGGAAAACTCAAATATTTCTGTTTTGGCTAAAATATTTTTATTTGTTCTGCAGCATGTAATAGAATCAGAGTCGTTTGACTTTAAAATGTTAATTGAAATTCATTTTAGAAAGTAAATCAGTTACTATTTTCAGTTGTAAAATAATCATGTTTCTTTTGGAGAATTTGTCGTCCCCGCCCCCCCCCCATGACTGAAAGTGAAGCAAAAAGTTGGGCTTCCAGTTGCTAAAACCTATAGGGTGTCTACTGATTTTCCAGGTTAGGGTAGAATTTTTCAATCTATGTAACACAAGGGTTATGTATAACATTAGAGATAATAAAGATTTAAAAATTAGGTGTCTGTAATTCCCTTTGGTGAATTTGATCAGACGTGAGCGTGCTTGCATTTTATCTAGTTTTATCTTGGAAACCCATCCTTTAAAAGATGTTTCGGCATGGACTTTGAGTTTTAATTCAACTCTGTGAGGGTGTGGGTATGTGTATGTGTACATAAACATAGACTTAATCATTTGATGTGTTATGTTGATTTTTTTAAAATAGAATCATGACTATCTGGCCTCTACTGTGCTTTCAGAATTACCTTTATTGCTAAACAAAGTTTAGTAGTTCTCCTTTGTAAATGTTTATTAAACAGTCAAGAATTGCACAAGGGAACAGTTTTATGAAAACTAGTAGTTTCAGGACTCTTAACCTGAACAGTGGACCTAATCCAGAAAAAAAGTTTGTGATCTTACTTTAAAGAAAAACCTGATGGGGCCGGGGAGATGGCTCAGTAGGATAAGCACTTGACTGGCAAACACAAGGATCTGAGTTCAATCCCCGGTTCCGCCAAAAAAAAAAAAAGAAAAAAGAAAAACCTGATGGCCTAAGGACTCCATGGTTGGAATGTTTCCTCCCACAACTTAGGCAGCAACCCCACCAAGTTAGAGTATCTACTCTCATGAGCCCCCAACGTTGTTAACTGTAATCACTGCTCAGTGCTTGTAATGTTTCTGAGAGTTGCTTTATACTTTTCCAAGCATGGACGTATGCATTATCATTTCATCCTTTGGAAAAGCCAGGGGCTGGGCGTGCAGCTGAGCAGTAGAGCGCTTGCCCAACACTCGCGAGGCCTTGAATTAAATCTCAAGCATCAAAGTCATTCAGTCAACCAATAAATTGAGACTTAGTAGTGCAGTGTGTGCTCTAACCCTGGTCTGCTGTTTCCTGTCTGTAGCACTGGCTACAACCATTTGCAAGCACTGAG